CGATCCCGGGAGCAGAACTTGGCTGAGGAACCAACAGCCAGAGGCCTACGTCTCAGCATTCCTGTGTCCCTATTTGGAAGGGCCAAGCCTGTGGCAGCCAGGAGTTGGGGGGGGCCCTGATCCTTTAGGCAGGACCATGTGGCAGGCCTCGAATTAAGGGCAGGGCTCACAGGGGCACACCCCTTGCTAGAGGGTGCGTGGGTGCGTGGCAGGGCCAAGGAGCAAATCCCATTTGGGGGAAGCCCTGTCCCGGGTGGGGCAGAGCTGAGGGACAGGCCCCACACTGGGGTGGGGTCAGGGCTGAGTGGAGTATTCCCTGGGGGATGGGGCAGAGCTGAGGGTCGGGCCCTGCATGGGGGGAGAGGCCCTGTGTTGAACGGGTCGGTTCTGTAGGGCGTGGGACACAGTGCTGGTGTGGGGCAGGGCTAGAGTTGCCAACTGTCTAATCTCACACATCCAGATATCCTTATCCCCCTTCCCTCAGTCCCCACTCTCCCCCACGCTCACTGGGATGGGCAGGGGTTGGGGTGCGGGCTCTGGGCTGGGGCCCAAGGGTTCAGAGTGTGGGAGGAGGCTTTGAGCTGGGGCAGGGGTGGGGCTGCAGGAGGGGTCAGGCTCTGGGAGGGAGTTTGGGTGCTGAGTGCAGGCTTAGGGAAGGAATTTGAGTGCAGAATGCATGAAAAGTTGGACTCTGGGAGGGAATGTGGGTGTGGAAAGAGGTCTGGGGTACAGGCTCTGGGACGGAGTCTAGGTAATGACTGCAGGCTCTGGGACTCTGTTTAGGGGCAGGAAGGTTTGGCAGGCGGTGAGGCTGGAGATGTAGGGAGGGAGTTTGGGGCAGAGTGGGGGTTCAGCTCATCACTTGGAACATCCCTCTCTAGCCCTGGCTCCCAAGTGGAGGGGAGGGGGGTCGGGAGGCTCCCCATGCTGCTCCTGCAGCATCACCCCCACAGCTCCCACTGGCCACAGGGGTGCTTGGGGCATGGGCAGCATGTGGAGAGCACAAGCCCTGCTGCAGGGACATGCTGGCAGCCACACAGAGTAAGCTGCACTGTCATTGGTGTCAGCAGGGGCCCCTGGGCTGCTTTCAATCTGGATCCGGACCCCAGGGCCAGGAATATCACTGGTGCCCATATAACTCACTGCCCCTGAAGTTAACACATCCCGGCCCCGGGCAGTGGTGGCCGGCCGAGGGGCTGCAGGGATGTGCTCTGCCCGCGTCTGGGAGCAGCGTGGAGCCTGCGCCAGCTGATTGTAGTGGCCTAAAATCTCCCGGATTGGCTGCCAGGAGACCCCCAGTGAACCCAGGAGGGTTGGTAACCCCGGGCAGGGCCAAGGTCCAGGCACCCGTATTGTGGGCCCTGTTCTGTGGGGGGACAGGGGTGGGGGTCGGGGGGTGG